ATTCTGGTGGAATTATAAAATAATAAGTGTTAAGGGCAATGGTATGGCACTGCCTCAAAAAGGTAGAACTAGAAATACCATATTATCTAGCAAGTCATTCCTAGTTTATATCCTAGAGCAATAAGAGCAGTGACATAATGCATACCCATGTTCATTGCAGTATTACTAACCTCAGCAAAAAGATGTAAACCATCTAAGTGTCCATTATAAAAGAACAGATACACAAATGTGGTATATAAATACAATGGAATATTATACAAGGATAAAGAAATCTGATGAGTCTGCCAAACATCCTATAACATGGGTGAAACTTGAGGGCATTATGCTGAGTGAAATAAGTGAAAGAAGTCAAAGACAAATATTGCATGAGATCACTTTTATAGAGTCAAGAATAGGCTTATACACAGAGCAGCATTCTTTGATGGTTATCAGGGATGGGAGGAAGCAAACACATGTTAATTCTGGTGACAGGGAATGGTGATACACAGTATGGGGAAGTCAGCACAGTGTGACCAAGGTAAGAGCAGACACTAAAAAGTATGAAAGAATAAAGTGGTGCTGGAGGAGAACTACTGGACTGCTAACTGAAAGGTTGTCAGTTCAAACCCACCTGCCACTCCTCCGTAACCCCATTTAGGGTCACTATGTGACGGAAGTGATTCAACAGCATTTAAGAACAACAGTAAATGCTGTAACATACACAATTATGTAAAAACAGTAACTGTTGTTGTTAAATGCCGTAGAGTCACTTCTGACATCTAGCGACCCTGTACAGGGTTTCCAAGGAGTGACTGGTGGGTTTGAACTGCCAACTTAGCGGTTCAAATCCACCTTGCAGTACAGTGCATTATCCTGCAGTGCCACACCAGGATTCTGTTGTTGTTGTTGTTACCATATGTACATTATTAATTCTAACTCATAGTTACTCTGTGTACAACAAAAAGAAATACTACCTGGTCCTGCGTCATCCTCACAATTACTGCTATGTTTGAGCCCATTTTTGCTGCCACTGTGTCAGTCCATTTCGTAAGGGGGGAGGGGGGGTCTTACTCTTTGCACTGACCTGCCACTTTACCAAGCATAATACCCTTCTCCAGAAACTGATCCTTCTTGACAACATGTTCAAAGTACAAAATACAAAGTCTCACCATCCTTACTTCTAAGGAGTATTCTGGATGCACTTCTTCCAAAACAGATTAATTTGTTCTTCTGGTAGTCCACTGTACTTTCTAAATTCTTCACCAACACCCTAATTCAAATGAACTGATTCTTCTCTGGTTTTCCTTATTCATTATCCAACTTTCACATGCACATGAGGCAAGTGAAAACACCATAGCCTTGGTCCTGAACACCTTAGTCTCTCTAATAATTCAAAGAGGTCTTTTATAACAGGCCTAATGTAATATATCCTTTGATTTCTTGACTACTTTGTCCATGAGTATTGATTGCATATCTAAGCAAAATTAAGTCTCTGACAACTTTAATCTTTCCTCAGTTTATCATGATGCTATTTATTGCTCCCATGGTGAAGATCTTTACTTTTAAGTTCAGGTGAAACCCATACTGAAGGCTACAGTCTTTGATCTTCATCAGTATGTATTTTATATCTTGCTTCCAGCAAGCAAGGTTATATCATCTGTATATCACAAGTTGTTAATGAGTTTTCTTTCAATCCTGATGCCAAGTTCTTCTTCATATAATACAGCCTCTCAGATTATTTGCTCACGATACAGACTGAATGAGTCTTATGAAAAGCACACAATCCTGGTGCACACCTTTCCTGATATGAAAACATTCAGTGTCCCCTTGTTCTCGTCAAACACTGTCTCTTAATCTATGTACAGGTTCCCCAGGATTATCCATTCTTGGCAATGTTATCCACTGTTTATTATGATCCACACCGTCGAATGCCCTTTCATAGTTAATAAAGCACAAGTAAACATCTTTCTGGTATTCTTTGCTTTTAGCCAAGATCTGACATCAACAGTATTTCTTGTTCCACATCCTCTTCTCAATCTGGCTTGAATTTCTGGCAGCTCCGACAATGTACTACTGCAACCGTTTTTAAATTATCTTCAACAGAATTTTACTTGCATGTGCTATTAATGATAATGATACTGTTCGATGATTTTCACGTTCTATTGGGTCACCTTTGTTTGGAATGGCACAAATATGGATCTCTTCCAATCCACTGGCACAGACAAGTGACCGCCTCCACCACTGCATCAGTTTGTTGAAGCATTTCAATTTGTACTCCATCAATTCCTGGGGTCTTGTTTTTCACCAATACCTTCAGTGTAGCTTGGACTTCTTCTTTCAATACCATTTACTGTTGATCATATGCTACATCTTGAAATGGCTGAGCACTGACCAATGCTTTTTGGTACAGTGACTGTATGTATTCCTTCCATCTTCTTTTGATGCCTCCTGCATCATTCAGTATTTTGCCCATAGAATACTTCAATACTACCATTGAAAGCTTTAATTTTTTTCTTCAGTTCTTTTAGCTTGAGTTTGTTCTTCCCTCTTGGATTTCTAACTTTAGGTCTTTGCACATTTCATTATTAATACTTGACTTTGTCTTCTTAAGCATCCCTTTAAAATGTTCTGTTCATATCTTTTATTTGCTCATTTGTGAGTGTTTACATAGGTAGACATGTATGCTATATGTATGGGAGTACATGCATTTATAGGTACAGCTTTTTGGTATACATATTTGTATTTGCTTCACATATAGTCATATATATGCTCTAGTATATATGGAATGCTGTAGAATAGCACCATACTGGTGACTGCAAGGTCAGTGGTTCAAACCCAGCAGCCATTCTTGAAAACCCTATACAGGGTCGCTATGAGTCAGAACCAACTCAGCAGCAACAATAGGGAACTCAGTTATATTAACTTCTTTAACATATCCAAACACTTTGTGGCATTGAGTTATTGCATCTAAAAGCTAAGGATGATAGTCTCAGGGGACATGAAGGTCAACTGGCATCATATAGTTCATAAACATCATGTTCTACATGCTAGTTTGGTGAGTATTATCTGGGGTCTTAAAAACTTGTGAGCAGCCATCTAAGATACAACAACTACTGTTCTCATCACATCTGGAGCAAAGGAGAGTGAAGGAAACCAAAGCCTCAAGGAAGCAATTAATCCACAGGACTAAGGGCTCACACGAACTACAGCCTCTTTTGGTGAGAGCAGAACTAGATGACACACGGTTAACACCATCAATCACTCTGATCAGGAAACAATAGAAGATTCCAGTTAGAAAGACAGAAAGTACAGAATAAAACTCAAATTAATAAAAAAAAAAAAGACCACACTTACTAAACTGATAGAGAGTAGAGGAACCCGAGACTACTGCTTAAGATACCCTTTTAACCCGGGTTAAAGCCACTCCTGGTGACTCCTGGTCTTTGAACCACAAGGTCGGCAGTTCAAACCCACCAAGTGCTCCTTGGAAACCCTATACAGGATCACTGAGTCAGAACCAACTCAACAGCACCTAACAACAACAACAACTGGAGTCACTCCTGGAGGTCACTTTTCAGGCGAAAAATAGATGATCCATAAGGAATGTGTTCCTTCAAACAATCAACTATACATGACCAAACAGTGATATTTACTCAAAAGCAAAGACAAGGAGGCAAGAAAGGACAGGAAAAATAGAGGGATGGAAAAGGGGAGGATGTTGACAGAATGTGGGGACAGCAACCAAGGTCACAGAACAAACTGTGTATAAACTGTTGAATAGGAAACTAATGTGCTGTATAAACTTCATCTAAAAGAGAGGTGGGAACGTCAGGCCCATGGGCCGTATAAAGCCCTGGAAATCGTTGGTCTGGCCCTGCCAATGCAACTGCAGTTCCAGCCATCACATTAGAGGTGAATTAACTAAATGTTTGATGAAATAAAGCAGGCTAATTTTTAAGCTGATAATTTTGTATGGCCCGCAAATGACGTTAAATGACCTACAAACATAATATTCAACAATAACATAAAATCTATAGATGTTTGAAATGAAACAGAAAGAAAATATATCTATAATAAAACAAAAAAACCAGTTGCTGTCAAGTCAATTCTGACTCATGTTGAGAGCTGTGTTTCATAGGACTGTAAAGAGCTGTGATCTTTCCAAAGTAAACTTCTTCTTTGTCACCTCTGTTGTTGTTAAGTGCCATCAAGTTGGTTCTGACTCACAGTGATCCTGTACAGGGTTTCTTAGGAGTGGCTGGTGGGTTTGAACTGCCCACCTTGCAGTTAGCAGTCCAGTGCTGATCCTACAGTGCCATGCCATGACTCAGAGGCATCTCTGGGTGAATTCAAATTGCCAGCCTTTCTGTTAGTAGCCAAGCACTTAACTGTTTGTACCACCCTGGGACTCTACATCTGTATATATAGTTTATACATTTCCTTATGAAAGTTAGAAATAAAAACTTCTTATCAAATAGTCAGGAAGTTCTGTCTATCTGAAATGGAAGTTGAAACAATTTAAGTAACTGACCCCAAAAATGACAAATAAGTACACTGAACTAATTTTGCATACCTGAAAGAAAAATTAACATATCAGTTGAACAGTAAGCATATTATCAAAGGAGTTATGCTTCTGTTAATATTTTTTTTTCCTGCCCCCTACATTCCACGCCCCCCCACACACCCCCAGTTCCCTTTCTGGATCCAGAGTCCCCAGCTGCTTCATTGCTCCACATCATCGTCTCTGTCTCCATTTTAGGCACCTCTGTTTCTCTGGGTAGGGTCCAACTCTGGGCTCTTCTCTGTTGATGGTCCCAGATAGCTCCGCTCCTAGCCTGTAGGATTAATCACTCCCTGCCTTGTTCCAAAACGTCTACCTTTGCATTTCCAACCCTCATAATCCATCCTGATAAGCATTCTTCACTACAGTTATCGCGAGTTACCCATCTGTTGTGTTAATATTTTTAATAATAAATGATTTTACATGGTATTTAAAGAACACTGTTAGGTCAGGCTCTTACCTTTAAAGGCACCTGCAATATTCCAACCAGCTGTTTGGCCAGCTGCATGTGATACTGTGTGCCTGAGCCATAGGTTTCCCTGGTAACTGGGTTAGCTATTCCCATGCTCAGCAAGTAGGATTTAAACCGGATAGTCTGTAAGAGGGAAGAAAACACAAAAAGACTACAGAGAATTAAGTCCTCCCCTCACCCAATAGTTCAAATCCTTCAATCAAAACTGCAATTCTACTTAATATTTCTATAATTACCCACTTCTTCTTCTACTTTGTTTCTATTCTGCAAACTCTAAAGAAGCAGATTTCTAGCAGTTTCTTGCATAAATCTAATTATTTTTCTTCTTCCTTTTACTACTATCCTGGCAACTCATACTGCTTTACCTCACAAATTTTGGTGCCACAAATTTAGATAATAAGTATGCTATATTTAACGCCAACCAAATAACGCAATCTAAAACTTAGAAAGAAAAATGGCTGTGATCAGAATGTAGACAAACTTAATGAAAGAAATATCAAAACTACGGGCATGAATGAAGCAGCCACTCCTTACGCATTTCATTATCCCACAAGAATGGGGTTGAAATAACCTTTCATCCTACTAGGCCTGGTGAGGTGCTGCAAGATAAGCACTGAACGCTAACCTCAAGGTCAGTGATTAAAACCCACTAGTTGCTCCTCGGAAACCCTATACAGGGTTGCTATGAGTTGGAACTAACTAAACAGCACTTCACAACAACAAATCTTAACAAAGTTTTATGAGTCACTGTCTTTAGCACTGTCACCTACCCTCAAGTCCTAAAATACTACATTAAGAAAGAAAACTGGTAAGCCAGGAAAATATCATTGCTATTTATATAATCTACTTGTCAGGCCTTAAAAAAGCAAACAATTTACCTCATCTTCTGTGATGTCACCTTGTTTATCTTTAATTTTATTAGCTATTGATTTTGATAACTCCACCATTTCCTTAGCCTGATAAGAAAAAAGAAAAAAGACCTTTGAAAGAAATAATGTCCCCAAAGTATCAGCTAGTAAAATAGATTTTCAAAATTATATCATAGTTGGTATGAAGGACATATACCTTGATCATGAGCTTGCTGAGGTCTTCAAAGGCCTGAAATGCAAAGGAATGTTATTAGAATCGTCTTAAGGATTAATATATTCTGAAGCAATGACACAAACTCTATTTTATTCCTTTTGATAAAAATTAATGAAATTATCTTACAAATTGTTGTTGTTGTTAAGTGCTGTCAAGTTAGTTCCGACTCATAGCAACCCTGTATAGGGTTTCCAAGGAGCAGCTGGCGAGCTTGAACCACCAACCTTGTGGTTCAAACCAACTTTATATATAGTCCAGCACATTACTCCACCTGTTTATTTACATAAACATTTATCCAAGAAATGTTGTTGCTAGGTGCCGTCAGCTTTATTTTGACTCCCAGTGACGCTGTAGGACAGAGTAGAACTGCCCCATAGGGTTTTCTAGGCTGTAGGCTATTTTCCCTGTGGAGCGGCTAGTGGGTTCAAACCTTACTTTCCATTGGCAGCCCAACCATTGTGCTACCAGGATTCCTATCCAAATAATAAATCTACCTTATCCTAACAATTCGGTTTATAAACTTTGGAAAATAAACTGCAAATAGCCTTTAATTTCCAAAGAGAACAGAGTTACTATTGATCAAACAAATAAATGTAACATCAGTAATTGTTCAGAAAATATTTACTGTTCTTTGATACAAGTAAGAAACTTGTCAGTGGTTTTTCCCAAAATAATATCCTGACAGGAGGTCAGGAATCAAAATCATTGCTGTGCTTTCCTGACAGACATGGCAACACACAGCCGCAGGAACACTCACAGTGGCTTTCGTAGTGAGTGAGACTTAACTGGCGTAGTACACCTCAGCCTCGGAATAAGAACAGATTTTACTTGTAATTTGAGTATGGTACATAGCACAAAAGGAAAACACTCAGACACCACCAAAAATTAAATATAGCCCATCAATGAGTTAATTTGCTACAACAGTTTAATACCTACTTCAAAGGCCTCTTCAAACTTAATCAGACATATTTATAATAGAGTATGTCAAGTTACTGAAAACATGAGGGGGCTTCAAAAAATTCATGAAAAAATGGAATGAACAGATGATGAATTTTTCCAAGAATTTTTTGAAGGCCTCTCATATACCTCAAGTACACACTAACTTTTATCTAAATATTTTATGTCTAGCTTATGAAGTACAGATATTGTTTAAAAATCAACTAAGTATCTTATCTTTAATTGAAAATCTTTCAGTCTATATGTAATAGTCAAAAGGCTCTATTCAGCAAATATCCATCTTCATTATTTGTAGGAACGTATCCCCTATCTGCAAAGGGATTTTTACTAAAATAATAAAAGAGGGTTGTGTAAAATTCTTGTAGCCAACTCACTAAGGTTAATACTGAAAACAAAGGGGAATGTGCACACACCTAACAGGAATTTCCTCAGATAAACAAAAGGCTTAAACACAGGGTTCTTATCAGCAACACACAGCACATGCCGGAAACCTTTTGTGGGAAACTCTAGTCACCAGCTCTGAACCTAAGTCCGGTCTAATATTCAAACTGAAGCACTTCAACATTACACACTTAGATTCTTAATTTCAATATATAAAGGATTATCAGATTTTTACCTATATAAAGAAAATTAGTAAGACAACAATAAAAATGCAGATGGTAAAACCACTTTATTGTTACTATGTCTTCATAGTTCATAGAAAATATATGCTAATAGTAAGAGTGAATTCACAGAAAATACATAAATTAGCCCTTTTTGTTTATAAGGATGGCTGCCGTGTTGTCATTAGGTGCTACAGAATCGGTTTCGACTCATAGCGCCCGTATGCACAGCACAACAAAACAGAATACTGCCCAGTTCTCTGCTATCTTCTGAATTGGTGTTACACTTGAGCCCATTGCTGATGACACTGTGCCAATTCATCTTGGTAGGGGTTTTTATTGTGTGGTTTTGGGG